CCTCCCAAAGACCCTCCTTACCTTACCTCCTCCTCACTCCCCCCGCACATCCTCCCTATCATCTCCTCCTCCTCCTCCTCCTCCTCCTCCTCCTCCTCCTCCTCCTCCTCCTCCGCATCCTCCTCCTCCTGTATTCCCCCCGTATGGCCTTATGTTGTTCCCACCGTGCAAAGGACCAACCACATCACAGAAATAATTCCCGAGATCCCAGCGAAGTATCGAAACAGTGTCTGCCTGGCACGCTGGCGCAGCATCGAAAGCATCGAACGCGTAAAAACCATCCGGTTTAGGTGCTCTCCTCATGCTCGAACTTCTTTCTGCTGATTTTATGAGGCAACTACTGGAAGATCATCGTCGGAATACTTAAGGCAGATTAACCCGCATTGAGGGGCTCTTACGCCGGAAAGGGCCTCGGATTAAGAGGGATTCAGCGGGATAAACCGGAATTCAGCGGGATTAATTCGGATCAAGCGGGATTAAGCCGGACTTCGAACAAGGGCAAACTCAGATTTTGAAATTCCCAGGAGTTGCACCCGAACTGATTAAGGCTGAAATAGGTTGAAACATCATACGGCAGGTTCGTGTCGTGCCGACTTCGGCGTTGGTTGCTGATACCGCGACGATCGTTTCACCTTTCACGAACGTCAAATGGTTCAGCATCGACCGATCCTGGGTCGCCGGCGGCGTTCAACATTGAACGCGGGCCGCGGGGTCGCCGCCGGTCGACACGACGCGAACCTATCGCAACTATGGCCGTCCGCCCGATCCGGTCGAATTCGTTCAGGGTCGGCCCCTGAACCTCGGCGGTGGACAAACCTCCCTTTAGTAAACCTCCCCTTAGTGAAAACGGCCTGGGACCCAAACCGACGGACCTGGACCCGCAGAAATGACGGCCGCGACGCCCTCTCGCGATCCGAGAACGGCAAATCCCTTACTCGACGTGTCAGGGTAGGAGGTCTATCCACCCCCGAGAGCCCCTCCCCGGGTCCATCTGGCGCCCTTCGCCACCCCGGATCCGCTTCTGACGGCCCCGGGACCCCACAACGGCCCCGAGAGGCCGTCCGCCCGATCCGGTCGAATCCGTTCAAGGTTGGCCCCTGAACCCCTCCCCAGGTCCATCTGGCGCCGTTCGCCACCCCGGATCCGCTTCTGACGGCCCCGGGACCCCACAACGGCTCCGAGAGGCCGTTCGGCCGATCCGGTCGAATCCGTTCAAGGTTGGCCCCTGAACCCCTCCCCAAGTCCATCTGGCGCCCTGCGCCACCCCGGATCCGTTGCCCAACAATGGCCCCGAGAGGCCGTCCACCCGATCCGGTCGAATCCGTTCAAGGTCGGTCCCTGAACCCCTCCCCAGGTCCATCTGGCGCACCAGGGCTGAGACTAAACGGGGTTGTTCGTTTTCGTTTTGGTTTCGTTTTTGCCTCGTTACGTCTTCCATCCGCCTTCAACGCAAAACGAAATCGAAACGAACACGGCCCACGAAATTGCCAAAACACAATTCAGGTCCACCCCCGTGGCGCACTTCGTCACCCCCCGATCCGCTTCTGACGGCCCCAGGGCCGTACAACAACGGCCCCGAGAGGCCGAAGCGGGCAGCAAAAGGCCTCCCCGAACGCAGCGCCTCGCACTCCTGCCCGCGCTTCCTGCTGGGCGGAGCCAGTGCCGAGCCACCTCGGGCGGAGCCAGTCGGGATGTGTGACAGGGCTGAACCTAAACGGTGTGTTTCAATTTCGTTTTGTTTTCGTTTTCCATCGCTTTTTGTCCCGAATCCGGCTTTACCGCAAAGCGAAGTCGAAACGAAAAGGGCCCACGGAATCGCCAAAAACACCGTTCAGGTAAAGCCCTGATGTGTGGTAGGCGTGGCGGCAGTGGGTCGTGGGCATCGTGCACGCCGCTCGCGAGCCAAATCCCCACGAACCTCGCGCCATACGTGCAGCGCGGGGGGAGGCGGACCACCCACCCATCCCACCATCATAGGAGGGATGCGGAGCCCCTGTGAGTGGGACGGGGTGGGCACAGAGGGGCCATCATAGGCACCTCGCACCCAGCTCGAGACCCTCAGAACGGCTCGCTTTGGGAGAAGCAGGTCAACACGAGCCTTCGACCTCAACATCTTCTTGAACACGGCTCGAGGCCGGATTCGCATCATAAAGCGGTGATCGAAGTGGGCACCACAGCCGCCTCACAACGGCCCATCAGTTCTCCCCAGACGGCTCTGAAGGGGAACTGGGACACACAAATAAATAGACACAAAATCCCACCAGCCCTTTGGGCGTGAGTGGTTTAGCGAGCTCTCTCTGTTCTCACCCCCCCTTCTTCCCCTTCGGGGAGGGGTTTACCCCTCCCCCTACCCCCTCCCCCTGGACCTGGAGAGGGGGTTTCGCGGGTGGTCAGAGGGTCCTTTTTCTATCCCTGGGAGGGCTAAAATTCGACACCACTCACGAGGATCGTGGCCCCGACGGGGGTACTGACAAAAATGCTCGCCCCATCTGTGATCGATCGCCCCAAACATGGCCCCAACAGGCCCCCAAGACGCTCCAAGAGGCGCCCAAGAGGGCCCCCGGACGCTCCCAAGAGGCTCAAAAGAGAGCCCAAGAGGCCCCTCTACGATCTCCAAGAGGCCCCTCTACGATCTCCAAGGGGCAGGCGGAAACACGCCTGAAAAACACGACTGTCGGCATGCTTCGCAAGAGTTGCTGTTTTGAGATGGGCTGGTGGGGATACGCGAAGCGTGAAGAATTCGCCTGCCCAACGGGCGAGAGGCGTGCTAAGATCTCCGGTAACTGGTAAACAGCATTTCTGGTTCGCGCGCGCGGGGCGGCCCCTGGGGGTCCCTGGATCAAAAGTACCCCGGGACACGCCCGGGACACGCCCGGGACACTCCCCCAGATCCTCCAGGATCGCCCCAAGAGGGCCCCAAGAGGCCCCCAACACAATCCAAGAGAGGCCCGAGACGCCCGAAGATCGCTCCACGGCGCCCAAGATGGCTTCCAGACGGCCCAAGACGTCTCCAAGATGACCCAACAAGCCTCCAAGATGCCCCAAGAGGCCTCCAGGAGCACTCCCAAAAGGGCCCCAAGAGGCAAAAATCAATGATTTTTCTAAGGTTTTGGACGAATTTGGGCGTTTCAACCTTTTCGGTTCCCCGAGGCCCCTAAACGGCTCAAGAGGCCTCCAAGATCGCCCCAAGAGGGCCCAAGAGGCCCTCAAAAGGGCCCCAAGACGGCTCCAAGACGGCCCCAGAGGCCTCCAAGACGGCCCAAGAGGGCCCCAATAACGCCCCCAACACGGTCCAAGAGAGGTCCGAGACGCGCGAAGATCGCTCCACGGCGCCCAAGATGGCCTCCAGACGGACCAAGACGTCTCCAAGATGGCCCAAGAAGCTTCCAAGATGCCCCAAGAGGCCTCCAAGAGAACTCCCAAGAGGGCCCCAGGAGGCAAACATCAATGCTTTTTCTTAGGTTCTGGACTGATTTGGGCGTTTCAACCTTTTCGGTTCCCCGACGCCCCTAAACGGCTCAAGAGGCCTCCAAGATCGCCCCAAAAGGGCCCAAGAGGCCCCCAAGAGGGCCCCAAGACGGCCCAAGACGGCTCCAAGACGGGCCCAGAGGCATCCAGGACGGCCCAAGAAGGCCCCAAGAACGCCCCCAACACGGTCCAAGAGAGGTCCGAGACGCCCGAATATCGCTCCACGACGCCCAAGATGGCCTCCAGACGGCCCAAGACGTCTCCACGATGGCCCAAGAAGCCTCCAAGATGCCCAAGAGGTCTCTAAGAGAACTCCCAAGAGGGCCCCAAGAGGCAAAAAACAATGCTTTTTTTTTCCCCGGTTTTGGACAGATTTGGGCGTTTCAACCTTTTCGGTTCCCCGACGCCCCTAAACGGCTCAAGAGGCCTCCAAGATCGCCCCAAGAGGGCCCAAGAGGCCTCCAAGAGGGCTCCAAGATGGCCCAAGACGGCTCCAAGACGGCCCAAGAGGCCTCCAAGACAGCCCAAGAGGGCCCCAAGAACGCTTCAAGAACGCCCCAAGAGGGGGTTCACGAAACAGAATTTCGAGCTCTCGGCCCTTAGAGGCCCCCGGAGGCCCCAAGACGCCCTCAAAGGCCCCAAGAGGCCCCCAAAAGGCCCCCAAGAGGCCTCAAGAGGCCTCCAAAAGGCCCTCTGGAGGCCTCCAAAAAACCCTCAGGAGGCCCCCAGGACGCCTCCAAGACTCCAGCCAGACGCGACTTGGGAAACGCGGGTCGGGGTGGTCCTCCTCCCCCGCGTTCGGCCTCCAGCCTCGAGCCTCGACCCTCCGCGACGACGACGACGACGCCGGCGGGCGGCGGCGGCGGGCGGCGGCGGCGGCGACGACGACGACAAAGGCGCTCCTCATCGCTCCTCATCCCCCTCCTCCTTCCTCCTCCTCCTCCTCCTCCTCCTCCTCTTCCTCCTCCTCCTCCTCGTCGTCGTCGTCCTCCTCCTCCTCCGGTCCAATTAGAAAAGAGATGGTAAGAGAAACGCCACAAGAAAGTGTTCCTTCACGCCCGTGTCCGCAACGCCAGAGGACATCAGGACGATAACAGAGCCAATGTTAGCATTCAAAGCCCGCCACCCTCCGACACGAGGGTTCCCCTATCGCATAAGATGTCTCTTCCCCCGGCTCGAACGGCCCCACAGCGGGATACCACGGGTAACACGCCCCCACGATGGCACCAACGCCGTCAAAAAAGTGCAAACACCTAGAAGCCCCATGAAAAAACATTAACACATTTATCGACAACTACACAGCTCCCGACGCCGCAGCTCCACACTGCAAAGGACCACTCGAACAGGCGACCACGGTGCGACATTATGGGCAGGCAGAATGAGCGAAGCGATTAAATAACAAGATTCCCCATATTTGCCCATATTTTCTGGGTTTCTGCCTTCCCCCCCCACTTCCCATATTTTTCCATATTTTCTGGGGAATCGACGATGAATTGTGTCTGTTTTTTTTTTCCCTCCTGAGGCTCGGCCGCTCCTCGTCGAGGCTGCCGACGCCCCAGCCGCGGTAGCTGCTCGAGAGCACGGGCTGCACCACGCGCCAGCCCGCCGCGCGCGCGGCCTCGGCCAGGGCGGGCAGGTACCTGTGTACAGTCGGGGCGTTGACCTAAGGAACCCTAAATAAGGAACGAGGCCCCTTTAACCCATATATTAAACCTCGATGTCCCATGAAAAAAAAACCGGAAAACCCGAGGCAAACTGTGAAACATTCAAGGAACACCGAGCCCCTCCCCAACGAAAAGGGTTCCTTCTTCAGCGCCCCGACTGTAGAGCTCGACAGGCCCAGCCCAGGCATATCAAGGGGGCCCTGGGACACACAATTCAATACGCACCAATCCCAGGAGTCCCGCTATGTTCCTATATTTTCAGGGTTTTCGTCTTCCCCATCATTGTCGATGTGTTCCTATATTTTCAAAGGAATTGCCGATGAATTGTGCCTGTGCGGTTTTTGTCCCCTCCTGACATGTGCTCGCGCCCCCCGAGATCTGGGCGTCGGGCGTCGCTTCGCGGAAGGGTTGAGTCGGGCATGTCCCTCCACAGGAGGAGTATTCAAACGTAGCCAAAACATCGTCTGGGGAAGATGTGCTTCTAGTATGTGTGTGATTTTGATTATGCTTGATTTCTCCTCCAGAAGCCGCCTGTAGGAGGACATGCCCGACCGAATGGAAGGGCGATCAATTCGGGGGGAAGAAAGGTGCACCTAACGGGCCCTATAGTAGGAGCTTGACCACAAGAAACCTTCCACGAGAAACCCATTATCCTGAGACCCCAGGACGTCCATTGATTTTTGGTGTGGGACCGTCACGGTCTCCATAGCAACGGCGATGCATTGGCGATGCATCGGCCACGTCGGCGTGGAACACATCGGGCCCCACATCGAGCCGCATCGCCGATGCATCACCGATGCGGCACGTTCCTCCGACCCCATCCACTCGGACCCCATCTGGGAGGCATAGACTCCTCCTCCTCCTCCTCCTCCTCCTCCTCCTCCTCCTCCTCCTACTCCTCTTCCATTCTCCCTCGTCATGTCCCTTCTCCTCTCCCTCCTCCGCCTCCTCCTCCTCCTCCTTGTTCCTTCTTCTGGGAGGCCCAGAGGCCTCGTGGCCAACAACAACTCGGCCAGATGTCCTGGCCCATGCTCGACCTCTGGGGGCCCTTGCCCGGCCTCGACGCCGTCGAACAAGCCTATACGACCACCCTTCGGGTGATGAGGAGGTCTGAAGGGGCCCCAGGACACACAAATAAATACACACAAATAAAAAGATCCCCCATATTTTCCTATATTTTCTGGGTTTTTGTCTTCCCCCCCACTTCCCATATTTTTCCATATTTTCTGGGGAATCGACAATTAATTGTGTCTGTGTGTTTTTTTCCCTCCTGAAGGTCGGGGGGAGGGGAGAGAACCGACTGCTCTGGCAACCGAGGTGGGTGCGAATTGTGACGATTGAGGGTGGCGCGCCCTGGAGGTGGCGACGACGCGTGACGACGATGTTGCGCCGCGATGCGATGTCACTATCGACCCCGCTATCGATGTCGCTCGACCGACCTCACTCTCGAATTCACAATGAATCTCTGAAGCGATCCCAATCAACCTCACTATCGAGCTCATAATCGATCCAACTATCGATCTCACTGTCGATCTCGCAACCGATCACACTAGCGACCTCAGTATCGATTGCGCTATCGATGCAACTATCGATCTCACTGCCGCTCGCACGATCGATGCAACTACCGAATTCACTATCGACCACACGATCGATCCAACTATGCATCCCACTACCCATCTCACCACATCTCTGTCGTTATCGGTCTCAATATCGATCTCACCAGCGATCGGGACACCATCGGGACACCACGGCGAGACACCGCGGGGCACCACTGGACACAACGGGACACCGCGGGACACCACGTGACACCACGAGGCACCATCGGGACACCACGGCGGGACACCGTGGGACACCATTGGGAAAGCGCGGGACACTACGGGGCGGGACACCCCCAGCCACCAACGCGCTCACTGGAGGGCCGGACATTTGCATCCGAAGCGCCCTGGCGACGCTGGGATCACTCCTCCCGCGCGACCACGGCGAGACACCGCGGGACACCATCGGGACACCGCGAGGCGCCACGGCGGGACACCCCCAACCACCGAGCGCCCACCGGAGGGTTGGACTTTGTGCATCGGAAGCGCCCTGGCGACGGCGAAATCATTCCCCTCGCGCGCCCAGGCAACTTCGCCTCGCCCGCGCGCACGACACGAAAAACGAAACCGACACCAACATCCCGGTCGGGGGCCCTCCGTTCCACTGCGATCTCACCCCGCAACCTCCGATACTGGAGATGACAAAGCAACTCTGGGGAAAAGGTCGGAACTTCTGGGGACAGCGCATTGCCACCCTCCAAGACATCGCATGTCTGGGTTCAAGATCGGCACCAAAATAAGGCGGTGCCAATCACAGGGATAGGGATGTGTTTCACGCCGGTGAGTGCCGCAGGCTGAGCAGCCCGTCGGTGAGGCCCCCCACGCAAACGAGCGCGCGCTCCCCAGGGCCGCGCCCACCCGGCTCTCGGGCAGTGCCAATGTGGGGTCACCACACAAAACATGCAGCCCATCGAGAGACCGCGACGCCCGTGGAGCCTCCGACCGTGTCGAACTAAAATATGGAGGGAGGCGGGGCGTTCGGACGCCTTCGTCGATCCCTCTGGCTTCTCTTACCTCGGGACGCGCTTCAGCAACTGCGCCTCGCTGGGAGCGTCCTGGGCGTGCCCGGACCGTCCCCGAAGGGCCGCCGAGGGAGCCGAGGACGCGAGAGCCAGACACTCGGCGCATCGAACAAAAAGATCGAGGAGGCCTCCTCGATCTTGTTGTCGAAGGGGAGCTGTCCGTCCAGCGCGTCGAGCGTCCGTCGATTCGGGTCGAACCTTTGCCCCCACCAGGGGAGGATGCTCCTAGATTTTGGTGTTGGTGTTCAATATGTCAGCTGTCCAGGAAGCCCGACTCTTCCCACCATCACCGAGATCGGGATCATCGTTCCTCGGTGGAGGTACACCGCCAGTATTGGTGCTGGTGTCAACCTCTAGGCCTCCGACGGGATGAGTAGCCAGCCATAATTAGGGAGGGTGCCGTCGAACACAATAGAGTCGCGGGATGTCTGGGTTGTGAGGGGTCGCCAGCCGCCCAGAGGAGGTGGCAACCCCTCTGGGCAGTGACCACCTGCAATTTCGGCTGAGCTTGCAGGTTAGCCCTGCACCCAGAGCAGCTCGACCCCACGTCACCGAGGCAGCCTCATGGCGCTCTAGCCAAACAAGCTTGAAGCTGAGGCCATGATCCGAGAAAGCTGGCGTCTCCCTCTCACTTCCGCCCGTTCCGCACGACCCCCAATGATCGATCGGCGCAAGAGGTCTCGTGCGGGGCTATGAAACCACCGTGTGGTCGGCGCTTGTATGGGCACTGTGCTAAACCAGAAGCCCGACGAGGAGCGAGCAACGGCAGGTTCCGCCAGCCTTCCGCCGGCGAAGCCGCCGTCTTCTGCCTTCCCCTCGGCCCTCCGCCGAGGCAGAGACGAGGCAACTCTTCGACCCCGGAAGGCGAGGCCCTCGGCGACTACACCTACCAGACCACCCCAACCTTACCCGAAGACCCGCACTTCGAGGAGGGAAGGGGCGGGTCCCGCGCGTGGTTGTGTCGATGTTCCCCGAGGCCCCCCCCCTCCCTCCACTGGGAATGGAGGGAAAATTGGTGCCTTCGGGCTGGGTCGGGGTGGTTTTGGTGGGTGCTGACTCTCTGGACCGCCCCAAGAAGGCGAGGCCAGGACGAGGATAACATCGGGCGAGGGATGCATCGAGAAACTAAGAGATCCGGCGGCTCTGGAGGATGTCTCTCGGGCGCCGTGGCCTACCCGGAGCGCTCCGGAACGCTCTGAGAGGAGCCCCGGAACGCTCTGGGACGGGTCTACCCTTAAGTCGGGCGTGTCCCGCTACAGGTGGATTTTCGAAAAAATATTTATATAAAAAATACCTTAAAAAGTACTTCAAAGAAGGTCCAAAAATAATCAAAAAATAGTCCCCTGACTATTTTTGAACTATTTTGAAATATTTTTCGGGTATTTGTTTTGCTTTTTCGTCAAAAATCCCCCTGTGGGGACACGCCCGACGTAAGTCTACCCTCGTCCTGGCCCCGTCCGATGGCACCCTCTCCCCGGGGCTGGCGCTGCATATGCCGATTCGGTTCCTGGCGGCCCCCGGGCCTGGCGGGGGCCCCCATATAGATGCGCCGAAGGCGGCCCAGATCCAAGCCCCGCCCGACCACCACCTCCTCCTCCTCCTCCTTCCTAATCCTCCTCCTCCTCCTCCTCCTCCTCCTCCTAGGAAGCCTAATGTTTCCGGCTACCTAGGAAGCTATCTAGGAAACCCGAATGAGACGAACCATTAGGTGGGCCCAAGGAAGGTCCCAAACACGAGCATCGAGCACAAGGGTTCCCCCCGACCGCTTCTCCCACGGGGGGCCGGCCCTTGACCCCGGAGCCACCAGGGGTCTCTGCGCAAGGTTTAGTAGTCGGGCACGTCCCCCTACTGGCGGAGTTCGGACGAGCAAAAAGAAAATGCTCCAAAGCATCTCAAAACAAAATATCAGACATAGTTACAAAAACACTGTTTGACTATTTTTTATCATTCCTCCTGTAGGGGGGCATGCCCGACTTCACGCAAGGTCCGCGGGCCCGAAGAGAGAAGCCTCCGAGAAGCAGGGCCGACAGCTGGGAAGAAACAAAAAAAACAACGCCCCCGGAGGGACAGGCCTCAAGCCGTCGCAAATCTGGGCGTCTCTACCGTCGACCCGCCTGAGAAGGACCCTCGGCAGGCGCCATCCAGGAGTGAAGGGGCCCTGGGACACGCAAATAAACACACACGCACACATACACACAAATAACCCGATCCCCCATATTGCCCCATACCTTCCGGGCTTTTGTCATCCCCCCCCCCACTTCCCATATTTGTTCCGCATTCTCCTGGAGATCGACGCTCAGTTGTGTGTCTCTCTGTGCGTGCTTCCCCTCCCGAAGGAGCCCGCACGCGGAGGAGAGGAGCCCGACGTCCCCCCCCCCCCCCCCCTTCCGCGAGTCACCCGTCCCGCTGCCGGGTGCGCGCCGACGTGGAGTACGGTCAGCCCGTACAATGAGGTCGGGCCTGCCCCCCTGCGGGGGGATTGTGGACGAAGAATTCCAAGACATACTCGAAAAATGCTCCACAGACGCTCGAAAATAGTCCAAAGATGGTCCCCAGACTAACTATTTGTTGACTATTTTCGAATAGTCCTCCTGTAGAGGTACAGGCCCGACTCAACACGAATCATCTGTCCCACTGTCGGGCACGCGCCAACATGGAGCACGGTCAACCCGCACAACGAGGACGCGCGAAAAGGACGCAAGGGCCTTGGAAGGCCACGTCTACACCTCGCGGGCGGGGCGTGGCCAGCGAGAGCGGCCAGGGATGGGCCGAAGGGGACAGATGCAAGGGTAACCTTGGAGAGTCGGAGAAGTTGCCAGTCCTTGCTATGCGGCTTGAGTGTACCTCGCCAACGTGGTGACGGGACGCAGAAGGACATACTGGTATTATGTCGGGCGTGAAAAATAAAAAATACTCCCAAAAAATATTTAATTATCCTGGCGAAGGACCCAACCAGATGCAGCTGCGAGTACCGCAATTGTGAATATATTCTTCGATGGCGCTCCCTATGGGGCCACGAACCGTATGAGGGGTGTGCCGAAATCTGTGCGGTGGGCGCATGGGTGCGCAGCCACTGGGGCCTTCGCTGGAGCTCCCTATGGGGCCACGAAACGTGTGAGGGGTGTGCCGAAATCTGTGCGGTGGGCGCATGGGAGCGCAGCCACTGGGGCCTTCGCTGGAGCTCCCCATGTGACCACGAAACGTGTGATGGGTGTGCCGAAATGGGTGCGGTGGGCGCATGGGAGCGCAGCCACTGGGGCCTTCGCTGGAGCCTATGGGGCCACGAAACGTGTGAGGGGTGTGCAGAAAGCGGTGGGCGCATGGGAGCGCATGGAGGGGACCACGAAAGTGTGTGCGTGCCTGTGGGCGCATAGCTGGAGCTCCCTATGGGGCGAAACGTGTGAGGGGTGTGCCGAAATGGGTGCGGTGGGCGCATGGGAGCGCAGCCACTGGGGCCTTCGCTGGAGCTCCCTATGGGGCCACGAAACGTGTGAGGGGTGTGCCGAAATCTGTGCGGTGGGCGCATGGGAGCGCAGCCACTGGGGCCTTCGCTGGAGCTCCCTATGGGGCCACGAAACGTGTGAGGGGTGTGCCGAAATCTGTGCGGTGGGCGCATGGGAGCGCAGCCACTGGGGCCTTCGCTGGAGCTCCCTATGGGGCCACGAAACGTGTGAGGGGTGTGCCGAAATGGGTGCGGTGGGCGCATGGGAGCGCAGCCACTGGGGCCTTCGCTGGAGCTCCCTATGGGGCCACGAAACGTGTGAGGGGTGTGCCGAAATCTGCGCGGTGGGCGCATGGGAGCGCAGCCACTGGGGCCTTCGCTGGAGCTCCCTATGGGGCCACGAAACGTGTGAGGGGTGTGCCGAAATCTGCGCGGTGGGCGCATGGGAGCGCAGCCACTGGGGCCTTCGCTGGAGCTCCCTATGGGGCCACGAACGTGTGAGGGGTGTGCCGAAATGGGTGCGGTGGGCGCATGGGAGCGCAGCCACTGGGGCCTTCGCTGGAGCTCCCTATGGGGCCACGAAACGTGTGAGGGGTGTGCCGAAATCTGTGCGGTGGGCGCATGGGAGCGCAGCCACTGGGGCCTTCGCTGGAGCTCCCTATGATCGTCATGATGGATGATGATGATGATGATGATGATGATGATGATGATGATGATGATGATGATGATGATGATGATGATGATGATGATGATGGCAGGAGGGAGGGGGCAGCGGGAGGAGTGAACGCGGGGCGCTGTCTCTTCAAAACGAGGACCCAATACCACAGGATGGTTGGGAAAAATAGTCCCAAGACTATTGTTGGACTATTTCTTGACTATTTCTGAGGTTTTTTATTTTTCGTCGAAAATCCCCCCTGTATGGGGAAAGGCCCGACTTCATACTAGTACGGTGTGTGTGTGTGTGTCTGTGTGTGTGTGTGTGTGTCAGCCTCGGAGGTGTGCGTCCGACGCGCACATCCGGCACAGACATCGTGCAGTATACGTCGTCTCCCGAGCGGTATGGGCAGAGCCCCGCCCGCCTCGGAGCTTCTATGCCATAGGATTCCTCGGCGCGAGCGTCGCCCCTGGGGGAGGCGGGGGCGACGTAACCGTACAAGGGAGCTTTTCATACATAGGACTTTTATATCGGAATTTTAATACATGGTCGATTTATGAACAAATGTATGCATGAACTCATTGTTGTTTTTAATACCAAATCCCTGCATTTCTAATACATGATCCGCACGCGGAGCATGTATTAAAAACGGCACTGTACCACAGGATTCCTCGGCGCGCGCGTCGCCCCTGGGGGAGGAGGGGGCGACGTAAACGTATTATCAGTATGTCGTGATGACGCCAACTGTTCGAAGAAGAAGAAGAAGAGCCATGAACATAAGCTTTTGACGCTGCGCGCGGATTTCTTGGATCCGCGCTGGACCGGATCCCCGTTCCCTGATGCGCGGAGCGCGCCAGGGGCGGCGCCGGAGGCGCCACTGGGGGGCCCAGCTCGGATTCAAGAACTCCGCGCTGAGCGCCAAATGTTTCATATGTTTATGTTTTTTTCTCCTTCGAGTAGTATTCGTATGTCGGGGTGACGCCGATGGTGACCCCACCTGGCACTGACCGGGGATCGAAGGCCGCGAGGCCGAAGGGGCTGTACAGGAACAGGTCGCCGCTTGCCAGCGTGTCCGGGTGCCCTGGCCCAGCCCCCTCGCCGCAGCTCACGCGCCGGCCCCCCCCGAGACCAGGCGGAGGGAAGGAGCCACGGAACCATCAGAAACCGCGGAGCCCCCAGATCTCCTCTGGTCTTTCTGCTCGCCCTCCTCCTCCTCCTCCTCCTCCTCTTCCTCCTGTACTTCCTGTCTCTTCCCTCCTCTCCCTCCCCCTGCTCCGCAAATGCCTTGTTTTCCGTGCCTTGGCCTCCGCCATCGCTGCCTCTGTCTTCCCAGCGATGCGAATTGGGGATTTCCTCAACGGGCGGTGTTGCATCAATTTCTGCGCGGCCATCGCCGAACATGAACAAAACGAGTCCTGAGGGAAACGGGTCCTGGACCCTGGGGCCTCCCCCCCCCCTGGACCAGCTTTTGATCCCGAATGGTTGTTTGACCGTCGGGGGCCCAGGGAAGGCCCAAACCCGGAATGAAACCTCCGGACCCGTTCCCCTCAGGACCCATCTGAGGAGGGCAATTTATCGTGTTGAAGTTGAGAGGATGAAAGGGCATGAGCAGTAGCATCCGGATGCAAAGAAC